GATGAACTGAAAACACCTGGTGAGAAACACGAGGGTGACAATCAGACAAATCGGGAGCAGCTGAGCTGTGACACACTGGGGAAACAGAAACACTAGGAAAACTAATGTGAAAACAGACAAACCATGACATAGAGAGGAACGTTGGTTTGAGAGAGGAGTAAAGGAAGCDATRTTTGTGAAGAAAAACCGTCCACCATTAAACAGAGGTGGAGGCCTTCGTGTCCAGTTGTCCTCCTCCTACAATGCTGTTATTGCAAGTATGACTTAGCCCCCTGTGAGCAAGAGATGTGAATCAGGACCCCAACGATACCAACACAAAGAGGGAAAGAGAGACAAAAACAAGGGGATGTTGAACCCCGCTTGCATTCACTACATACACATGACAAGACACCAAAGAACCACAGCATCCAAACCAATAAGTCAGGTGATGGGGCACATGATCCTCTAAAAACAATAGAGCTAATCAAACCTATTGTTAGGCGATGGTCTTCTTTTGCATGTGACTAACCTGTTTGTTCATGTGGAGGCAGTGCTTATAAGGCTGAGTTCACCRGAAACTCATCAGACTGAAGAAGTCTCTTGGATGAGAGACGAAACGTCTCACTAAAGAAGAACCCATCCAGAGCACCTACTTATTTTTTCTTTTTGATACTTTGGTAAAAGTCAGTCTCCTTTAAGAATATTACTTGAGTAAAAGTCCTTAAGTATCTGATATTTTTGTATTCAAGTATCAAAGGTAAGTTTCTGACATAAAATGTACTTTAGTGTTAAAAGTAAAAGTAATTTAAAAATGAGTGGTTTGATTTTCCAGAACGGTATTTATAATGAGGTGAACTCATAAAACATTTTTCTAAAGGCCGAAATGACTATGTCATATAAAAAATGTAGGATGCCCTAGTGTAGCTGTTTCAGGTATATGTACTGTATATGTTGTTATATATACTTATATATGTATACTATATTAATTTATTCTTAGGTACAGTAACAAAGTGCTACATTGTAACTCTGTCTGCTGCCTATTAATTAAGTTTTAACTTWTTCTAAGGGCAATAAAAAAGGCAGCGTTGTTCTAGTTCTTGGACACAAATGTCTTAATATTCACAGTTGATAAAATGAGTTTGGTCACGAGGTAAAACTCCCACACATTAAAGTGGTGCTTATTAAAGGAAGTGAAATTTTTTATTAGTTTTGAATAATTTGCATAAACATTGTGTGAGAGCGTGAACATTAAATGATGGTTAAATGATTCAAAAAAATCAGTGGGTAGTTTTTGTATGAGTGACCTCGTCTCTATGAACAGTTTCAGGAGCATTTTTCTGGGTTAGCTTGTGACCAAGGAACAGGAAGTGTGAGCAAACAGGTTTTCAGTTCTGTTTTATATACAGTGGGTAAAATAAGTGTTGAACACGTCAACATTTTTCTCAGTAAA